CAGGGAGATTATGCTTGCATGGGGGTAGCAAAATGATCATGGCACAACTGACCTACGACTGCCTTTGCTGGCTTCTGCCAGGCCGAGCAGCGGCGGGTTCTCGAGGAGTTGCGCTTGCACAAGGCTCCTTCGTAGGGTTTAAGGGTTCCGGCGCTTCGGATCCAGTTTTTGTTTTCCTTTTTTTTTTGGGTGGGGGGGGGGGCGGGGGGGCGGCGGGGGCGGGGTGCGGGGTGGGCGGGGCTGGGGGGGGGTGTGGGGGGGGGTGGGGGTGGGGGGGGGGGGGAGGGGGGGGGGCAGGGGGGGGGGGGGGGGGGGTTTGTGGGGGGTGTAGGGCTTGGAAGTTTAGTTTAGGTGGACATGCAGGTTCCTTGTTGGGTTCCTTCTTAAGTTTAAGGTTGATTCTACCATGCTTGTTGCTGGGGTTCCTTCTTAAGTTTAAGGTTGATTCTACTATGCTTGGGAGCATTAAGGTTTTTTCCTCATTCTTCAACCTCAGTCTAGAATTGGTATTTCATTAGAGAACAGCGAAGCTCGTCCTTTCTGTCTTAAGTTTGGGGCTTTTGCTATCAGGCCAGGAGGTGGGGGTGGGAGGCTACGAGATTTTTATTTGTGGGTCATCGTTGGGGTGGTTGTCCTAGGGGTCTTCTTATGGGTGTTCTTGTGGCCACGCAGGGTAGGTCCAGGTAAGTTGTCGCAGGAGGGCTCAGGAGGGGTGGCATGTTCAACCCTCAGCCCTTAAAGCCCTAGGCCAAGCCACTACAATACCCCAGTTGCAATTTTATAAAGCCTCATACAACTGGCGATGTTACAGTAGTTCTGTTCTAGCTCTTAATCGCCCGAGGCCTTTTCATCCTCTCCTGGATTAAGGCAACTCCCTGTATTGAGAAGTAGTAGTTGGAGCCTTTTTTTTGGGGTTCAGGGGTTAAGGGTTCAAGGCCTGAGCTCGCAGGCCTTTGACTGCCCTTGTGTGCTGCGCTACTTCACCTCGTGGATGCAGGCGTTCCCTCCGTGAATGTTGGTGAAGTGTCGGTTCGGGGTTCGGGTCGGGCCCCTGATTGACTCCACTAGATTTCGCGAGCCCGAAGCAGCTGCCCCTAAAGCCTGAACTCTACATGGGGGCTCATGCTACGTGCAAGGCGTCGTTTTTGAAAAGGACCTTTCCTGTGCCCTGGGGTGCTTAGGATAACTCCAGTTAGAGCTACCCACCTCCGAGTGGACCCGAAGCCGTGGCGACCTACGTGCCGAAGGCAACCCCTTCTTTTGTAGGTCCCTGCCCGAAGGCCACGTCCGAACCCCGCACGGGACTAGGAGTACCTTGGCCAGCTCAACGCGCACACGCGCGCCCGTGAACAATTGGCACGGCCCCGCTGTCGGAGACCCTTTGCCACATGAATGTGGAACCGGAACGGAGGGTGCCCTGAGTGTGACAGGTTTTTATCCTCACGGGATATCATATCTCCGAGCCTCTTTCAATCCTAGCTTTAGCAGCTTCGGATTGAAGGAGTTGAGGGTTTGGCAAAGGCCCTCTAAACCTTATTTACATCAAACCTTGAAGGATGTGGGGTTTTTCTGGACCTTGATGCTCAGGGGAGCTCAGGCCGACCCCACGTCTGGCGCCGGTCTTTCATCTTGGGCTCGGGCTCGGGCTGCAGTCGGGACACCTCCCCGGTCCGAACCGCCACCTGCGAGGAAGACACTGCATGCCTGCTGCTGGAGTATGTCGAGCTGCTTGGGCGCATGCAGACGACGGGCCTGGTATCTCCAGCGTGGTTCTGGGGTTTGGGGTCGTGTTCTGGCTGAGGAAGGCAGGCGTTGCGGCCTCGGGGAGAATATTTGAAGCGTTTTGAAGCGACTGGCTGTTCGTAACCCCATGAAGCCGACACAGATCAGGAAACGAACTTGCTTCCATGGCCTTTGCTAGCGATAGGGTTTCAGGGGGTTTTGGACCCTAAGCCCGAACCTGCGCAACTCTAAACGCCAAAAACCCAGCGCCGCTTGATCCCTGAGGAACGGCTCCCTCTCAGACGAGATTCGCAGGCCTGGAAAAAGCTGAGCCCAAAGCCCTGACTCCTCAACCCCGAAACCCATCCAACCGAATGAGCAAGTGCGCATCAAATAGCAGAATGGCCTCCGCCCCTGGCTCAGATTAACACCAGCCCAACACTTTTGCCTGTCGAGGTCCGTTTCTGGGGGGCCGCTTGTTTATATCTTCGGGGGAGTAGGGGATGAAAAAGGGGCTTGAAGCCCTGCCACCCGAATCGAAGCCCCTCTATCCTCAGCCAAACCCTTAACCTTCAAACCCCCCTCAAATCTCTTGAAAGGGGTCCCCCAAGCCGGCAATGCGCTAGAAGCCTGAAAACCTCGAAAGAGCCCTTCAAAGTGCCCTTCAAAGCCCTGCACCAGGTGCCAGGAGCGCGGCCGCCAGCTCCCAGACGAGCGCATCGTCGACTGGGCGGGCCAGTGAGCCTGGCGCGGTCTATTAGCATCCCGGTGGGCCCCCTTTAGGATCCCTTTTCCTTGGGAGATCTTTCAGGGTCCCCTTAGGATCCCTTTAGGATCCCTTGGGGTCTCCTGAGGATCCTTGGGGCCCTTCGGGTTTCTGCTTAAAGGGTTAGGGGGCTCAGGAGGGCTTCTAGAGGTTTGGTTTTGGTTTATGTATGGGAAACCCAAAATCCAAAGCTCTACACCCCCAACCCTAAGTCAGAAAACCCTTGGGCCTCAACTCCATCACCCTTAAGACCCTTTAGCTCTTTAGCCCACAAGCATTCAGAGCCCCAACTCCCCTAACCCGAAGCCATGGAAAGCCCAACACCCTAAGCCCCCCAAATCCGAAAGCATCGCCTGGCCAGGATCATCCTGGGCCTGCTGTACCTGCACCGGAAGGAGGCTCCGTCACTCTCTCTCTTTCAGGGTTTAGGGTTTAGGGTTTCGGGTTTAGGGTTTCGGGTTTAGGGTTTAGGGTTTAGGGGTTAGGGGTTTAGAGGCCGTATAGGGTTTGCAGGGTTTACAGGGTTTCTAGGGTGTGGGGATTAAAACAAGTACATCTGGGTTGAGCTTGTCACCAAGCTGCACAATGCGCAGTGCCTCTTGGCTCAGATAGGGTGGACAGTTCGGAGCCATGGCAAACGTGGAAGAAACAGTTAGAAACCCAAGTTGATGGTGTTGCGCGCCTGGCCTCGGCCACGGCAAAGGGTACTGGAAAGGACCGGGCTGGAAGGGTGGTTGTATGCTTCGGTACGGGGGCGTTCAAAGAGAGCGTTCTGGACTGCCTACGTCAGTGGGAAACTGGGGCGGAAGCAGCCAGGTTGGCAAAGGCAGAGGGGGGTGCTGCGAGCGGTGCGGCGGGGACTGGCAATGAGGGCGGCAGGCCACCGCCGCTCAAAATGCAGTTGTTCACAAAGGTGGTGGAGCAGTTGGTCCGGCAGGGTGTGGGTGAGCCGGCTGCAAGCACGCTGCGACACACGCCGCAGACGGCGGCTGAATCTGCGTATTGCAAGAAACCCGAAGCAACGGACGAACGCCCAGTCATATTTACGATCTCCTTCAAAGGAAACATCGAAGGATTGGCGGCGCGAGGTGCTCTCGACAGCCAGACAGTTCGTGATTGCCAAACGTGGTGGCCAATTCCCACAACTTGGCTTACGCCCTGGCCGCTACTTACCGGGGGTTCTGCGTCGGGAGGTCCTCTCAAGCTTGGGGCACACCACTGAAGCGGAGATCCAGGACTGCTTTACGGGCAAAGGCGGCAAGGGTGCTGGCGGAAAAGGCAAGGGTGACGGGCCTGGGGCGGCGGGAAAAAGGGAGGCTGGGCAGCGGCTGTCGGTGGCTATGCAGAGGGAACACAAGCAACGGAAGGCATAGGCTCCCTGGCTATTTAACGTACACCCTTTTTGGCTCTTATCATTTTTTGGGTCTTTTTGGTTATACCCGGGAGTGTGAAAGTCGGTACCGTCCGGCTTTGGGAGTGACAACCGGTACCGTCCGGTTTGTCGAATGGGATCGTCCATCCCAGGAGCGCGTTTTATATGGCTTGTTCGCGATGAGGTATGACAGTGAAGAGTTTTTAGTTTGTTCCCCTAACAGTTCTGTCTGGATCTTTTTGGTTATACCCGGGAGTGTGAAAGTCGGTACCGTCCGGCTTTGGGAGTGACAACCGGTACCGTCCGGTTTGTCGAATGGGATCGGTACCGTCCATCCCAGGAGCGCGTTTTATATGGCTTATACGCGATGAGGTATGACAGTGAAGAGTGTTTAGTTTGTTCCCCTAACAGCTCTGTCTTTTCGATTTGGGTTTGGTCATTCTCCTTGGGGTAGGTATGAAGCGACGCCGACTTCGGCAGTGGCAGACACGGCCGAGTTTTCCCGGAGCGAGGGCGGCTACCAGCTGCCGTGCACGTCCGTTTCCAGGCTTGCGATGACCCCTCCAAAGTCGGACTTCCACCTCAACGTGGTGGAGGGGTGGCAACTCCTGCACTAAAAGGTTGCGAGCTGTGCGTGTGCTGAGTTTTTCTTGTTTTGAGTTTAAGTGGGCAGGAGGCTAACGGAAGCCGCAGGGCGGGGTCTACTGAACTGGGTTCCGGGGCCTCCCTCGGGGGGCAACCCAGGTAGGTACCTTGCCGACCGCGCGCTCGGGCTGGCAACCCGGGTGCGTGTTTTCTCTTGCTACCGCACAGGTTACGTTTAACCGACCTTTGTCACTGAAACCTCACCATCCAACCGTGACTCCCGGACAGGGGAGGAGCCGGCTGGGGAATCGGTGGCGTCGGGGATCAAAGATCACTTGGGGGTGTTGGAACGTTCAGACTCTGCATTCTTCTCTTGAGGTTCTAACCTCTGGGGAGGTACACGTGGTGGGTAAAGATCCTTATAAGTTAGACAGTTTGTGTCCTGAACTGGGAAAGCATAATCTTAGTCTGTGTGCAATCTCTGAGCATAGATGGAGAGGGGAGGGTACATACAAGGTGGATGAAGAATGGCTTTTTCTGTTTTCGGGCTTACCTATGGATGCGGAAAAAGCGATGCAAGGAGTCGGTTTTCTACTCAACCAACAGATGCAGGCTGCATGGAAGGCTGCAGACTCCTTGTGTGAGTGTGCGGGAGGGAGGCTGATCCGTATCCGCCTCAAAATCCGGGGACGCTTTTTTAGTGTCATTTGGTGTTACGCGCCGACATATAGGTGTAGTGATGAAGAAAAGGACCAGTTTTATGCGAAGCTAGGACGGCTGTTAAATGAGATACCGGCGCGAGATGACCTGATCCTTCTAGGAGATTTCAATGCCAGGGTGGGGCTGGCGTTGGAGGAAAGGGAGGAGCAGGGTCCGGTCGTGCGCGAAATGGTGGGCACACGCGGGCTTCCCGAGCGCAATGACAATGGCGTGCGGCTTCTGGACTTTTGCTCTGGGCGAGTGCGGGAAAAGCTCTGTATAGCCAGCACCTTTTATAAGCGTCGGGAGTACGGGACTTGGTTTCACCAGTCGTCGCGGCGGTGGTATCAGATTGACCATGTAATTTGCTCCAGGCAAACAAAAAGTCTGGTGACAGACGTATGTGCAATGCCAGGGTATGTGCATGAAACCGATCATAGGTGCCTCCGTTTGCAGTTTGCTGTTCCGCCGAAGGCCTATCTGGGAAAGTTTTACAGATCGGGTCGTTCTGCGCGTCAGGAAGTTAGACCTCCTCGGTTGTTGGTCAGTGGGCTTAAAGTTCCTGAAGTTGCAAGAGATTTTAATGAGCAACTGCACTCGCTTATGGTGGAGGGCTTCTTTGATGAGGGCTACGAGCTCTTTGGGTATGCGTTGCGGAAAGTCGCTCACAAATGTTTGGGTGCGGTCCCTGTGGAGGGTGGTCCTCAGTGGAAGTTGGACAATGCGCCAAAATTAGCCAGGACAAAAGGCGGGTGGCACTCACTTCACCTCACGGTTTTCAGTCGAGGGAGTATAAGGCGGCCTGTAAGAAGGCTAAGAACCAAGTGCAGCAGTTAATCAATACCTGGTGGAAGGAAAAAGCTGCTGCGATCCAAGAGGCGGTAGATGCCAAAGATCCAAACTACCAGTTTGCGGGATACCGGGAGCTACGCAGGGTACTGGCCTCGGGGCGGCAGGCGCCAGGCAAACTTAAGGATGCCAAAGGCAACTTGCTGCATACACGGTCAGGGCGCATTCACAGATGGAGGGAATATTTTGAGGAACTGCTTAATGTTCCTGCCGCTGTGGAGCTTCACCAGTTAGATAAAGTCACGGAGCTGGTGCCGGACAACACGCTGGACTCAGTGCCCACCTTTGCGGAAACCGTTGCGGCGGTTGGGCGGCTTAAGCCGGGGAAGGCTGCGGGGCCGGATGGGGTGGCAGCGGAAGTGGTGCAGGCATTAGATGCTGTTAATCTACGGGCGCTTCATGAGATGTTTGCAAGGGTGTGGATGGGGCTGGAGGTCATGCTAGAGGCGTGGAAGGAAGCGTTTTTGGTGCCGTTACCAAAAAAGGGTGATTTGACGCAGCGCAAACGATGGCGTGGAATCCTCCTGGCATCCATACCAGGAAAAGTCTTCACTCGCATTATCAACGCACGGCTGGCGCAGTATGTTGAAGTCCAAAACATCCTACCTGAGTCACAATGTGGGTTCCGTCCAGGCAGAGGAACGATCGATATGGTGTTCGCCCTGAAGCTCGCTATGGAGATTGCGGACTACAAAAAGCACCCATTCCATGTGTTGTTTGTTGACCTAGTCAAAGCCTATGACTCAGTAGCTCGGGTTGGCCTGTGGAGTGTTCTGCGCAAAAAAGGCGTCCCGCCGAGAATGCTCGGACTCATGAAGGAGTACGAAATCTGCCAAAGTGTCGGTGGAGGGGGGGGGCTGTCGGAGTCGTTCTCGTTGCACACTGGGCTGGGTCAGGGTTGCTGTCTTGCCCCTCTGGTATTTAATGTCTTTTTGGCGGCCGTTTTTGAAGCATGGCCAAATCTGGGGCAAAGCCTAAGCGGAGACCAGGGCATGCTGACCGGTTGGTCTCGGCGGCCCGGCAAATCGAGGAAAAGCTGGCGCCCTCTTGCGCTTTTCTGCGGGTAGAAATTCGGGAAGGTGGGCGGGAGGCATGGCTTGATGCTCTGGTTACCTCTGTTAGGCAGCTCACTGCGGGTAAACCTTCGCTCACTCTGGAACAGCTTTGTGGTGATCTTGCGGCTACCTGGGGCAGGGATTTTGAACTTGAATCTGACCTTGCGATGTTTCGGCTACTTGTCGCCTCCGCGGTTCTGCGTGTGTCACAGGATAGGGGGGATGGAGGGGCTCGTGTTCGGTCAGGGCTCATTCCGCGAAGAATTCCTAGGAAACAGGGTCCAAGTCCAGGTCCAATCACTACAAGAAGAGCCAGAGTTGCAATTGGTAGCCGAGAAGTCGAACATCAACCGCCAGAAGCGAACATCTTAAAACCCGAATTCCTCACGCCCTTATAAGCCCCTACGCCCTCAAATCCTAGAACCGCACAACAGCCACCCTAAGCTGCGCAGGTCGTTCACCGAGATCTCAAAGCCGACAACATCCTCGGCCCTCTGGCACAAACCTGTCGGGATCAGCGGCCTGTATGTTTGGTTTTCTTTGTATTGTTTATTTTTATTTCCTTATTATTGTTTTATTTTGTTTAGTTTTTTTTTTTTGGGGGGGGGTAGGGGTAGGGGTTGAGGAAGTCTAGTGATGCAGTGCCCATCTTCCCTTGTTTGTGTTGTGAGTTCCGGACATCTAAAGGAAAGCACCAAGTGCCCTGCAAAGACGGCCCTTAAATGTCTAAACATCTCAACCCCTAAACCTTAGCCTCTGTGTTCCTGAGGCCGAAGCCTCAGAGACCCTCAAAAAAAAACCGTTGCCACACCCTTCACCCCAAGCCCCAAACCGTAAACCCCCGTGATTTTTTCGTGTGTAAGAGTCTCACGAGTGTTGTTTTTGTTTTCGAGGCCCGGACCCCTCGAAGTCCGTGAAGATCGCAGACTTCGGCATCTCCAAGCGCCTGAGCGGCGCCACGCTGGCGAGGAGTGCAAGGGCTTCCATTCCTCAGCCCTGAACCGCAAGGCTCGAGGTTGGAATTTGCGGTATGCCCCTTGAGCCTTAAGCCCGGATCTCGAATCCATCTGCGCTCTCAGGACGATGGTCGGTACCCTGGAGATCATGGCCCCCGAGCGCGTGAGGGCGCTGTCGGAAGGCGGGGGTCGGAGCCAGGATTTTTACGTGAGAGTTGAGCTCAACTCTCAACGTTTCTAAAAAGCTGTATAACCTACAAGCCCTAAACCCTACAATCCCCAAACCCGAAGCCCCACAGCATTGAACGCCCATGCCACACTTCAGCCTTGTACCGGCCCCGGAGCCCCAAGTGCCCAAGTCCCAAACCCAGGAGTTCTTGCCGAAGCCGCGGAGTACGGCCCGGAGAGCGACCTATGGCGCGGCGCCGAGCCGTTTCGGGGAGGGGGGGCGGGGCGGGGGAGGGGGGCTTGCGTCTTCTTTTGCTTGTAAGCGGTTGCTATGTGAACCTTCGAGAGAGCCTGGAAGCCCGCAGCCCCCGTCCACCCTCAGCCCGCAACACTCTACAGAACCCAGAAGCCTTCAAAGCCCTACGTACAAAACCTAAGGCCCCTTAAAGCCCGAGATCCTAATGCCCCGAAAGCCTAAAAAAAAAACACTGCAACAGTATGAGCCCCTAGAAAGCCCTCAACTTCCAGGTCCCTGGGGGTTGTGCTCTACGAGTTGGCGGTGCTTCGGCCGCCATTTTCCTTGGAGGAGCTCTTGGGTTCAAATCGCAGGGCAGTGCTTCGAGGTTTAGGAAGTTTAGGGTGGGGGGGGGGGGGGGGGACCTGGGGATTTAGAAGGTATTGAGGTTTTGGGGGGCAGGGAGGGGACCTAATCCTCTCTTACAGCAGAAGTGGACCCAACCCGGCTGAGAGGTTGGTGGATATTCGTACGTCGGGTCGCACCGATGCCATACCATACTTAGACCGGTAGGGACTGCGAGCACCGGCAGCCCTCAGCCCAGACTTCAGCCCTGAACCCTAGACCGCGGAAAGGGCTCAGTGCACTTGGAAAACTAGGGTCTTGTGTTTCAGCATCGAGGACAGCAGGGTTTGAGGGTTTAGGATTTTGCGCTGCTGTACGGTGAGAGCGTCGAGGGTTGCATCAAGTTCAGGGCTAGTCGGCGTAGTGCAGGACTCATAAGCTGCTCAGTTATACCTGTTCTAGCTGAATATTTTGCTCTGGCTTGCTGCAGGAAAAGCACACACCCCATGGGCCTGGCCGTGAGCCATTGCAGGCGGCCGCCTGAGCCCGGGATTGGGGTTGAGGGTTTCAGTGTTCAGGGTTCAGGGTTTTTGGGGTTAACCATGACATGCTATCATGTGGAACTGATGAGCGGGCCGAATCTCTGTTCCCCCGCCCAAGGAAAGGGGTTGCTCTAAACTTGTTTATCATAGAACCTCTTACGTAAGAGACCCGAAAGGGACGGTACTCTAGAACAAACTCGAGGAACTTCTCTGCAACAAACCTAAGTTCCGCCGGCCGCATGCCAGATCCACGCAAACCTTTCCGGGCTTGGGATTCTTTTGCTGGGATGTTCGGAGGTTCCGGATGTCGAGGCTGCAGCTTTGGGGTCTGGATGCTTTAGTCCTTACCTTTCAAACCCTGAACCGATCTGTCCAAGTTACCATCAATGTCAATATTCCTTAGTTTCATCATCCATATCACGATCGACGTGAACGTTGTTGATGCCGTTTCTGATCAAACCATGGGCTGACGGGCTGGGGGCTCGAAGATGGTTTCTGCGGCAGTTGTTGGCCTTGCAAGGGAGCCCTCCCCTTATCGCAAGCGTCTTGAAGAGCGAGGTAACGGTCTCTACAAACTTGAAGCAACCCTACTTGACCCTGAACCCCCCCACCCCTCAAAAAACACTCCGAAACCCTAAGCTGTGAACCCTGCAGGAGGATCTCCTGAGAATCTTTTGAGGGCAGCCGCATCAGGCCCGCCAGCAGCGCCTCATCGACCGGATCTGCAACGACGAGCCAACGCTGGAACCCTCAGTCCGTGGAGGGGGGCGGAGGAGGGGGGGGGGGAAGTTGGGTTTAGGGCATGGGGCTTAGGCAAGACCCCGAAACACGGCCTTCTTGACCAGGTTTCAGGTTAGGTTGGGCTGGGCATGAAGATCAGCGAAGCATCATTGTCATCTATTCTTGTGGTTCTCCTAACCCCCCCCCCCCCCAGAAAAAAACTTTCCAAAGAACAAAAACTCCGGACCCTAAGAGCCTAATCGCCCCGCAAGTCCCTAAAGAACCCACGAGAAGCCGAGGCCTCTCCCTTACTCGCGCGCGGCGGTGCTGCACAAGGCGACGGAGAGGATCTGTTCTACGGTTCTTTGTTGTACCCTGGGAAGGCCCGGAAAGGATCCTTTGAAGGGATGGGTTCTGGGGATTATCGCCTAAGAAAACCCCACTGTGCCAGCAAGGATATGGCTAAGATGACACAATGTGTGCAGAATGGGGCGACATCGGACATTGAGAGGCCATGCGCCCTCCATTACTCGGCAGCACAGCCCTGTGTCGACAACACCATGAGTCCCTGCAGCGTTAGTTCTCCATGCTCTGCGCCGGCAATTTTGGATCATGTTTCCACAAAGTACAAGAACGACTCACGAGCTCATGAGAAACGCAATCCCGCTTCTTGGTTTCGACATGACGTCTATACGGCCTCGAGCCCCAAGAACGATGTGTTTGGAGTTGAGGGTTTCAAGGTTTAGTGCGATCCTGAGGTCCCCATGCTTGGTCGCCTTGAAGTTCTAAGGGTTTTAGTGTTCGGAAGCTTTCGTCCAATTGCACGCATGAACACCAGAACTCCCCACGAGGTGGTCATCGGGGGCCTCCTCCAGAAAGCGTGGGGGCCTCCTAGCTTCTGCAGGGAGTTGTTTCTCGGAAGTTTGCTCCGTTTGTTAAGGTGGGATTGTGGAGTTCAGGGATTCGGGGCTTTGTCGTTTGATGTCGTTTGAGGGTTTCATGTCTTAGCCTTGTCAGGGTATACCTTAAGCTTCAGGCTTGGCGGGCAAAGCCTTGACCGTTCCCCTGGAAACCGCGAAACAAAAGACGCAAAAATCCCTAAAACCTCCTTTAGCTCCTAAACCCTAAATCCGAAACCCTAGCCCCCTAGCCGCCTAAACCCCAAAACGCCTAACCCCCCAAACCCCAAACCCCCCAAGAGCTAAACCCCCAACCCCAAGCTCCTCAACCCCAAACCCCCCAAGAGAAGGCCCGAACAGCGGCCCACGGCTGCCGATCTCTGCCGAGATGTGGAGCTGGGCCGGGCGGACACAAGTTAACGGAGCTAGGGTGCCTGGTCTAGGGGTTTCGGGGGTTTAGGGGGTTCAGGGGTTTAGGGGTTCAGGGTTTTAGGGGTTCAGGGTTCAGGGGTTTAGGGGTTTAGGGGTTTAGGGTGCAGGGTTTTGGGGGGTAGGACCTTGGAATGGTTTAAAGCTAAAGATTTTCGATGCATTTGCAATCATGTCTGCGGTTCCCCCCTTTTGGATAATTGTAGATCCAGGGTTGGTTGCATTTTGTGGGGGTGACAGAACCGATCCACTGCCACAGGCTGAGTGGCTAAGGGAGTTTGTGAAAGTCAAGCCTAATGCCCTGAAAACACAACCTATACCAGCTGTATGGCTTATGGTGGTTTAGGGGGCTCAGGTGCTTGAAGGTCTGAGGGTACTGCCCGAGGTTGTCTTGAGTATGGCGGGTATACAAGTACGCAAGTAGGGTTTTTCCACTACTTGCATCCCTAAAAGGACATCTGAAATATACCCCACACGAATATGCTTGGGGCTTAGGTGCTTTGTGGTTCTGGGGCTTTGGGGTTTCAGGGCTTAGGACCGTTAGAGATGGGGTGTCATCAAGAGGGCCAGGCTAATTCAACCCAAAGCAACAGCTGCCAAGACAGGCAAATTCCCGACTTGGGGATCCAAATCTCGGCCAACCAAAACGGATCGCCTTTCAGTGGCAGCATGGTTCCCAATATTAGACACCCACTTGCCCACCCCCCCCCCCCCCCCCCCCTCCGGGCCTTGTTTCCTAGTGCTCAAGCCTCAATCCTTTTCTGTTATGAGATCTTGAGATGACAGGGCGTGCCATCCACCACTTCCTCAAGCGCCGCAAGCTTCTCCAGCACCCGTCTGTCTTGGAGGTGCCTGGCTCTTGCGTGTCCCCAAGCCGTTTAGGTATTTGGGTAACAACCCTAGCAGTGTGTTTCAAGGCCGTTTGTTGCCATGACAAGTATCCCGTTGCTATCGAAGGTTTGAGGTTGAGGGTTTACGTGCCTGGGGGCCAAGAGGCTCTAGGTTTGGGTCTACGCCGCCTTAAGCCTTAAGCCTCGAGTGACTTGAAAGAAAGCAAAGAGGGCAAGTGGCGCATCTGGTTGGCATTAGGAACTTCGTTGCGACCTTGCTTGTCTCTTCTATGTCGGCCCATGCGTTTAATGTCGGACCGCTGAGGGGGGCCTGGTGGGCTCGCAAATGTTGGGAGCTACTTCGAGGTAGCACCATAAGCTCGAAACCAAGCCTCTTGGGGTTTGACCCGATATTCTGCTTGGCAGGTTCTGGATGTGCTTCCGGACGTCGTGGCTTGGACAAAAGCCTTTGGCTGAAAACGGTGTTTCTTTGACCCAGTAAAGATGTAGAGTCGGGGTGCAGGTGCCCTGCTCACCTGGGCCCCCATGAACCTAAACCTTAGATACCCTGTTATCCCCAATGATATACCTGTTGGGTATGTCCTGCGTGCCCTTCGCCCCCATTCCTAAACCCCCAACCCGGAAGACTGACAAATGCCCTCAAACCCTTTCATGTGGCCGCGCCAGCACCTGACGAGCCCTGCAAAAGCCCTGCAGAAGCCCTCAGCTTGAGGACCATGAAGGGAGCTACATCGCCAGCCTGGCCCTCGGATTGCGACTCGTGTGGCAGCAGCATCCCAACCCCCCAGCCCTCAGCCCTCGACCCTAAGGCCCTGTACCCTGAACCCTCGACCTTACACCCTTACAATACCCTAAGCCCTTGGCAAAATTTTCCGAAAGCCCCAAGCCCTAAACCACCCCTGAAACCAAGCCTGGCGTGCACATTGGTTTCTTGTTTCGGGTATTGGGCGCTGCTCTCTTGAGTCTCGATGTGCAGTGGAAGGGGTTCTCATGCTCGAAGACTTTAGGACTTAGAGAGTTTGTGCTTCAGGGTTCATGGCTTCGAAGGCCAGGGTTCACACATGGAGAGTACCCCGCCCTAAACCCTGAAACCCGAAAACCACCCAAAAACACCCCAGCCCCTAAAGCCCCTAAAACCCCGAAAGCCTCTAAAACCCCTAAACGCCTCAGAGCCCCCTAAAGTAAACCCGGAGTCCCCCCCGGAGCCAGGCTCCGAGCTGGACGTGGTCACGCTGCGCAGCCACCGGAGCTCCGTGTGCGCCGGCGACTCCTTCCTCGACAGGCCAGGGCTTCAGGGGGCAAACAGAAGATTCGGATGATACAATCTTTTGACAACGTAGTGGTGAAATAGTATTATGGTATGGCCATAGAGTAGCAAACAAGTAAGAGAATAGAACAGTGCAACAGTATAATGGCAGAATAAGTACAGGAACAGAACACTATTAGTATCATCATGTAGTCTTTTCATAGCAGAACAGCAAGGCGATTTGAAGGGCTTCTTGGGAGTTCTAGAGGTTAGGGTTCAGCGCTTCAGGGGGGGGGGGGGGGCAGGGTTGGCAAACTTTTTTGCTTGCGTTTTGGTCTTCGAGTTTAGGGTTTTAAAGGGCTTTGGGAGCTTCAGATGTTTAAAGGCTCGCGGTTTCTAGGGTTGCGGCGCCGGCCTGGCTTTGGGGAGGCACATCAGGGCCCTAACGTTCTCCTCAAAACCTCGCACTGGTAATCATTATGCCTTTTCGAGTATTTGCCGGGAGTGCTTGAAGGGAAGCGGTTCGACCTTTAGGCTTGCA